GCTGCTTTTTATCGATATGAGAACATAGATAGTCTGTTGTTAGTTGCTCTATATCGATACGGGAACATAGATAGCCTGTTGTTAGATGCTATTTATCAAGTCGAGAACATAGATAGTCTGTTGTTAGTTGCTATTTATCAAGTCGAAAACATAGATAGTCTGTTGTTAGAACATAGATAGCAGTAGTATATGAGCTTATAAATTGGTCGCATTTCATTTCATGGGGAAAATGCAACCAATATATAAGCTCCCAAAAAGACCTAATATCCCTACATTTCATAAATTCTTACACTTAAAGACCTAAACTCCTTGTAAATTATTACACCCTATTCTCCCTACATTTCATACACTAAAAACACCTTCAATCAATTTCCTACATTCCATCAAAAAAGAGAGTATATGAGCTTATAGATTGGTCGCATAGGGAATTCCCCATTCCATTTCATTTCATGGGCTCAATCTATAAGCTCCCAAAAAAGACATAAATTCCCTACATTTCATAAATTCTTACATTAAAAAACACCTTCAATCAATTTCCTATATTCCATCAAAAAAAGCATATTAAAATAATGTAGAAGGGAGAAAAAACAATTAAAAACCTTAAAAATGGCAAAAAAATACTAGATCCAATCTTTAGATTATACTATCCAATTCGTTATTCATTTAACAAGAAAAAAGAGGATTATATTATCATCTCACCAACTGTTGGTTCTAAATCCCAATTGAATGATGGTGGTAGATTTACCTTCGAAATAAATTCATTATCGAATTGGTTGCTTCTTTCCGATGCTTATTTCAGATGCGATTTCAAAATAAAAGATGGAACTCCCAATGAAAATCGTGTTCCACAAACAAATACAACGTTAGAAAACAATTTCTTTTCATCTTTATTTAGCGAGATGGTTTTGGAAGCTGGTTCAAATCCGATAGAAACAATCAAACATCCTGGGGAATTCGACACAATGTTGAAAACAGTTTTATATCCTAAAGATTTTGATTCAGTTTCAGGCTGGATACCCGATGTTGGCGATGGAAGTATTTTAAGGGAACCGGTAAGA